GCAATCTTGAGTAAATGTATTATTTTTCAAGTTATTTTGTCTCTCCGCAGTAAACCTGGAGTCAGGTTAGTAGAAACTATCCACACTGAAACACAAAAAGGAAGAAGAGCAGAGCACGAGACATGTGTCCATGCCAAGTCCCCAGAGGAGAGAAGAGGCAGCAGAGACACCTGGGGACAACAAGGGGTTTTCTAAAATAACAAGTTCAGCCAACCCCAGTCAGAACCAACTCAGGTCCTAAATGCAGACAGTGGAGAGAGCCGTCCCTCTTAGTGGAGCAGCTCTCAAGTCCAGGGAGCCAGACAACCCTGGGGTAGCAGCACCACAGCACCACAGGAAAAATGCCAACCTGAAATCCCATTTCAAGCAGAAGTATTCTTAAAAAAAAAAAAAAAGAAAGAAAGAAAAGAAAAAAGAAAGAAAGAAAAGAAAGCAAGCCAGGCACGGTGGCACACGCCTGTAATACCAGCGGCTCAGAAGTTGAGGCAGCAAGATCATGAGTTCAGAGCTAGGCTCAGCAACTCAGCGAGACCCTGTCTCAAAATAAAAAAGGGTTGTGGATCCCTGGTGCCAAGAAAAAAGGAAAAGGAAAAGAAAGAAAGCAAAACACACGCTCATTCAAGCCAACACCGACATGACCCACACAACAAGCCCACACTACTACCACAGAAACAAGGGAGTGAGCTTCCCTGGGCACGGAGGAGTACAAAATGAAGGCCTCCAAGAAGCACCTCTGGGGAATTAAGAGACCCCTCCTCACACTACAGGAAAGGCTCAGCTGCACCAGGCAGCAGGCATCTGTGCTAGGGCTGAGGACAGGCAGAAGTGACACAGGTCTCTACAACAGGACAGAAACGTGCGGGTGGGAATGGGACTCAGATTCTCTCCTGCGAAGTGGGAAAGATGAGAACATTACAGGATTCCATGTCACCGGTTCCTGGGAAGCCATTAAACAAGAGGAAAGGTACAGGTGATGGGCCAATAAGGGAAAGAGCAGGAACTGTCAAAGTCCTGGTCCAAGAGGGAGCAGGACTGCAAAACCATACCAAGAAGGAACGTGATAACTAAGAAACAAACAGAAAGATGTTAGGCTGGATCCCATCAGTCATCACATTAAATGTCAAAGAAGACAAGGCTCCAGTTAAAGAGCGGAAACTGTCTGACGGGGAAAAAAGACCTGAACAGCTCTGCCAGGGAAACACGGTACTCTGAGGACCTAAGACCACTGAGGAGTCAGGTCTGCAGAGGCACGCGCACACCCCACAGGCTACCCTCGCAGGAATGCCGTCCAGCCACACCAACAGAGGGAAAAGCATCATGGGGCCCAGGTATTCAGCAACAGTGAAGAGATTTCATCAGAAAAATCAAAGGTCACCTAATCTATCCTAAAGCCACATATCCAACAACAGGGATCCAGTACAGGGACAGAGTGGCACAACCAATAGGAGAAACAGACACGTTTTCAGCCATGGTGGCGCCCTCCTTCAACATGTCTCCTTCAGTGACCGATAGAATAGTGGACACAAAGAAGAGCTGACTGGCTTTGTTTTCAAAGAGACTGATGCTATGGGCCCTGGAAAGCCTAGACTGATCCCCAGCGACCACAGCTGCCTGGCAGGGAGCACAGGGGCAGAGCCAGGAACTCCCCACATCACTGTGATGGGAAGAAAACTGGAAGCTCGTCAGGAGGGCAGCAGACACCACAGGTGCACAGCCTCCACCCCACAGACACCTGTGCACACGATGTTCAGGTGAGGCACAGGCAGCAGGACTGAGCCAGCTGCACACCATCCACGGGACGAGTCCTCCACAGTGGTGCTACCTCAGCGACAGGGACACAGAATGAACACCTCTCACTTAAACTTTATAAAGCACACACAAATATCATGCACTGTTCAAATGTCTGCAAGGCATACGGTAAGAAGTGGTGCAAAGCACGACATCAAGTCATAATTCACCTCCGAGAAAGAGGAAGCGGACAAGGACTGGTCTGGGAAAGGGACTTTTAACTCTGGGGTTGTTACTTTATGTGTGTGAGTTCTGAGGCAAATATTAATGTAACAAAACATTAAACTTTCAATTCTACATAAATGTGTTCTTGTTTGAAGTATCATTCTCTCAATGTCCCAATATTAAAATTCCCCAAAAGAAAAATAGGATGTCCATGGAATTAAAACATTTGATGATTAGTTAAAAGAAATAAGATTAATCAAATATGCCAATTCTACATGAAATCTCTCTATACAGAAGCCCAATGAAAGTAGAACAATGAGGGAAAAGGTAGATCATTAGAATAAAAGAAAAATGCTACATTGACATCAAACATGGAAGTGTTAATTTTCTAAAGCACTGTTTATTAGAGTATCCACTTGGTAACTTGAACATAGTCAACATTCCTTAACATTTAAGATGACATTTCTCACCACTAACTTGAATAATATCTACATAAACCCCAGGCCCACAGGAGTCCTCTCCAATGCATGGAGCCAGGGCCTAGGCCTGGCACTGCAGAGCAGCCCAGAGCCATCTGGGGCACCGGCCAGGGACCTGGGTGACTGTGATCTTGGGGCACCCTGAGTGTCTCCCTAGAAAATGGTCTGTGGGCTTACCAGCCCTGCATTTCCTGCCTGGACCTTCACGGGACAAGGTGGGCTCTCACACAGAGCCTGGTCGGGTCCTCAACAGTGTGCACACTGGTCACAAACACACTCCCACCAATCAGAACAGAAGTTACCTCCGATTCACGCCTGGGGCAGTCGCCGGGGGTTGCCATAGCTCTCCTAGGCTCAGCCGCATAACTGCTGCTTCGTCACTTCATAGTCCCTGCCCTCCTACTTTTAAATAAAGAAACACAAGAGCCTGTTAGCGGCATGGCCCACAACAAGGTACTCCAAAGAGAAAGTACGACATGCCCAGGCGAAGCTGGCACAGAAACGGATCCATCACAACCCCTCAGAGACGGCTCAAGCAGGACACGGGATGCTCCAGGGCGCCAGTTCTCACAGGGCTGCCAGGGACTACCTTTTGGGAACCTGTCAGTACCTGCGCTCCCTGATGACTACAACTGACGGAGCCACTGGCTTCCCGGGGGTCCCTGCACCTGCCAGCATGGCCCACGCCCCAAGAGCTGACTCGTTTAAAAGGCAGCTTCACTTCTGAACTTATTTTTGTGAGATTTGTAATTACAAACACTCATTAATTTACATGTTTCCAGAGGAAAACCTGGGCCAAGTTGGGAGGCTGCGGCTGCCAGGAAGGAGGGTTGAGAAGAAGAAACACTTGGGCCAGGTGGAGGAGGGCGGAGCGCCCAGAATAGGCGTGGCCTGGATGACGTGCCCTCAGAGAGGTGGCCCTGGAGGGCCTGGGGCTGGGCGGGCAAGCCTTGGAGGGTGTGGTGCTGGGAAG